CTCGATTTTATTCGCAGAAGCGGAAAGCAGCATCTGAGATCAGTAGTAATATTTTAAATGTTAAGCGGTCCACATTCAGTGGCATCAAGTAAGGATATGTTATTAGAAACTGAACCAACTATGTTAAAGACGATAATAGGTATGGAAGAAAGCCTTGATTAGATTGAATAACTTAAGAAATTTGTTGATTAGTAGCCTCTCAATTAGGAAGATTCTGAAAGGATTTTTTGATCACCTAAATCGAACATTAACAAAAAAGAAACATTATATAAAACTTTAATGGCACTCAACTCAAATCAAACGAATTTACTTTAACTCGGACCGATGCTCTTCCATTTCTAGATTTCGACAGTAGTAACAATGTATGTTCCGAAGCCGGAGGCGGGCTGTAATTCCAGAAAGCCTCATCGGTCCCAAGGCGGTATGTGTCTAGACAGAATTACAACGACTTGGACACTACAATATGTGGCGCTTTTGGGAACAGTTGGCCACTTGATGCCAATTCCGAACTTATCTCTCGTTGGTCAAGTTGTACTTGATCAAGTTTATAATTTAAATGTCGAATTGAAAAAGACAACTGGGACAGCGAAAGAAATTGCGCTGTTTGTATCTAATAGCAATTCCGCTTGACACATAATAAAATGGAGTATTCCAAATTAAGGACCAATCTCCATTAGCGGAAAAGGTTGTATAAAATGAAGAAATTTTTTTTATTAAATAAAATTTTAGATGCTTTTTGTATCATTCCATCAAATTTACAGAGAGTTCAGCACCCTCTCCATTGCGGGGACGAGATAGTCGTTATATGTATTTTTTAGTAGCTTAAAAGACAACCGCCCCTCCTAATGGTGAGTCGCTAGTATCAGCACTTTTGCTTTTGTACATCAACTATATCAGGAGCACACCTAAGTTAGTGTTAAGCTTTGAGTACTTTACGTAATCCTCTTTTGAACATTTTTGTCCGAAATTGCAATATAGATGAAGAATGCAGATAAAATCTCATTCTTATTCAAGCGAGACCAATGCTCCAAAATTATATGAATGCTCGAATGTGGACAAGTACATTAATTCGCAGTGTTTATGGGCTTTCACTACCTATTCGCTGGAAGCAGTAATGCATTTCGGTTTGAAGGGTGGGACAGCCGTTGTAACTATACTGAGACTTTAGAACTATATCTCAAGGTGGGTGGCTGACAGAATCTGCTAACACTGGCCCTAGCAAGAGCAGTGCTTCGCAGAATCTATCACCGGATCGGAATCGCGATCCACTGAGAAGACCCGGCAAGAAACTTAGTGGGCTGTGTATATGGGTTAGTTCGCTCGTCGAACTCGAGAGTCCTAAAAGCACCGAGAGTGAATGTGGGAAATCTGAGCGAAATTTTTCGGGCGACAGCGGCGTTGCGTTGCCCCGACGCGGTCCGATAAATAATTAGTGGCGGGAACGATAAGAGGGTTTTTTGTGTTGCATCCCTTTATCGAAGTAGTGCTCTGACGCTTCATTAAAATACTTACGTATCGGTACTAGATTTAGGTCACCCTGAAGATCTACATTCCTCACATACCACGGTGCTTCGACGTCTATCCTGCAGAAACGGGATTTAATGACCTGTAAAGAGTTAATTTCTGTACGGGCCGCGTGAGCGAACACTACATTTGCATAGGCCATGACTATGGAGTAGTCAACTCACAATCTCAGGTGGTTTATTGTACATTAATCCTCTTTCAGGACGTCGGGGTAAAGGCTTCTTATTAAAATATTATTGACATTGAGATATTAGAAGGATCACTGCAAAAAACAAATAGACGATATACGAATAGACCAAACTTATAGTAACTTTAATATTTACAACGCAAACGTTCCGGGATCCAACGTAAATATTCTTGGCTATAAATTTTAAATCTCTCTCTGTCTAGGACCGTAAAATCTTCGTCTTCTTAAAATATCTTTGCAAAACCAACAAACACTTAATTAAATATTTCCCCCCCGAAAAATATAAAATTCGGGCGCGAAATTCATCGTGACTGCGAATGGCAGGTTTGGGAGGGCTGAAATAGGGATGGGCGTTGTACAAATTAGCAGTTTTAGCATATAATAAACTCGATTTATTTTTATGTACAATAAATTTTTTGGGAAGCGACATTTAGAATTCGAGAACAGTCTGGATTTGGAAAATCAGAACGTACTGAATTTATTTCATATTTAAATTATTTTAGATGTAACTATACTTGAGACCTTAGAACTTATATCTCAAGGTGGGTGGCGCATTTATGTTGTAGATGTCTATGGGCTCCTAACACTAGGTGGGCTGTGAGCTAGTCCAACCATGTAAGCAAAAAAAAAATGTCACATGTGCGCAAAATGGTTATCCGTGAAATGTTCAAATTCTGATTTTGTAAAAATTACGCCATAAAAATTTATCAACTTCAAAGAAAATCGATATTTACATACAAACTAAAATCATATTGCGTAAATGCTTTAGTCAAGGAACGGCCCTATCAGTGAAAGAGATGCAGCATTCTCTATTGCTCTGACCCGGTACTGAAGGCCTATAACCGAATTCCGGCATTTACTTCACTGCTGCTAAGCGTAGGGGGTTGAATAATTGAGAGAACGCTTCTTTTAAGAACCCCTAACTTTTGAAGACTTGACTTTGTACTTATTAAGCAAGAACTTTTTTTCGTTTTGCTTACTCTACGTTAGCAAAAACATCAAGCGCAACTGATAAATAATAATACGTAATACCTGATGAAATAAAATTAATAATTAAAATTATTTTTACAGTTTTAACTCGCATTTACTGACAACTTACAGGTGGTAGGTTCACTGGTGGTAGGACCTCTTGTGAGTCCGCGCGGGTAGGTACCACCGCCCCGCTTATTTCTGCCGTGAAGCAGTAATGCGTTTCGGTCTGAAGGGTAGGGCAGCCGTTGTAACTATACTGACATCTTAGAACTTATATCTCAAGGTGGGTGACGCATTTACGTTGTAGATGTCTATGGGCTCCAGTAACCACTTAACATCAGATGGGCTGTGAGCTCGTTCGCCCATCTAAGTAATAAAGGAGAAAAAAATCATAAAAACTGTAAAGTAATCGAAACTTTGGAATTCATATAATGACAATAATAAGATAGAGATCAAATCGTAAAACTAGTTTTAATTACGTATACAACTCGCGAAAAACGAAGAAAATAAAATTCACCTTACAGGAGATAAATTATGGACACCATTAAAATCAGTTGAATGATGATAATTTTATCGTTCTGATTATATCTGTCGTAGTTGCCTTCCATTTGGTGCAGGACTGACCTTTGAATGATTCAAAGGTCAGTCCTGTTTTACAGGAATGTAAAAATAGTTTAATTTAAGTGGAGTCACGAAATAGCTTAAAGCTCGTTTATTTTATATTGCGTCATAATTTTGAAAGACAAAAAGCTCGCGACATTGTAGAGCACGCGACACGACGCGAGGAACACGAAATAATCAAGTTGTTCACACTCAACGAACTTGGTTTCGTATCTAAATATCTAGAAGTACGGGGACCATGAGATTTATATTTTTCTCGGATATTCCTAAATCCCAAAATAATTATGGACATATTAGCCGAATGTTATGAAAATATAAGATTTTTTCGTTGTTGTTCAAGTATTATGTCAGTAAAAACAATTAATTAGTAAAGAAGGATGTATAATTATTCAAATGTATATATATCATATTTACAGTATTAATTATTCCTAGTATTGTTTTTGTTATAGGAAGGTTATATTTAATTATTTATCCATTTATTTGTTTACTTTATCTCATATTTAACATACAACTACGAATTAAATATGGCATATCGATTTTTTTATAATATGTGCACTATCAATCATCATACTATTCAGTTACGGCATCATATTATTATTTTAAAAATTTCTCAAGCAAAAATATATTTTCATATACTGTAAACGTAGGCGAAGAAAAAAATAGCATTTTTAAATCAAACGCAGCCACCCCCCACGTTCATCTCGCGCGGGATTCGTCCGCGGACTGCCGGCGTCATGGCGACCACACTCGAGGGTGAGTGAAAGGGAGGATCAAAGCTCCCCATAGCGTACGCTATGAAGGGGACCTCAGAGGAAATTTTAGGTTAGTGGTCATGTAGGCATAAGAACGGATACACGACGTATTCGTTGTAAATTTAGTTGTCTTTTTGTGATTTTTCGTTTGTGCGTCAAGTCATCGTTTGTCGTCGTCTTGTGATTAATTAAGTCTAGATTAAGTGGTAAATTTAAGTCGCGGAAAATCGAAAGGGAAACTCAGCGTTCTTTTACGCTTTTTCGCCGCCAAAATCTTGTGCGCGTGCAAACAACGCTTTGGCGGGAGTGCGAATATTGAAACGAGTGAGGAAATTAAACGAATAAATTATTTAAAAAGGTGTGTGCGTCGAATGTTTGTTTGTAAACAGAGCCGCGTGTTGTGTACAGTGTAAACAGTAAACGGACATTTGTTGATGTGTGAAAAATAAATTAATAAAAGAAAAAGAAAAAAAAAACCAAAAAATTCTACTCCTCCGTAACACTGAAACGTTTAGCGCTAACCTAAACCCGCTCGCTCAAGTATATCGAAAGAAATAACGTGCCAAATTATACATTAAATAGAAAATCGGTGTAAATTAGTTACATGTGTTAAAAAAAAAAAGTGCAATATTCGTAATTAATATTTTAAAAAAAATTCTAAGTGTTTTAAATTATTGTAGTGATATTAAATAAATTTAAAGAAAACAGGTACTGATTATCTGTAGTGTTGATTTCTCAGCGTATTTTGGCGTCATCCGAGAAAAACGAGCTACGACGTATTACGATCGATAGAAATACGCGTTACCGCCTCGGAGACGCCGTCTCGCTTCCCCGCGAAATCGAAAGTAAACACGCTTTAAAAACTAACGAATTTATAGATTTAAGACCGACTACAGTACAAATAGACTGTGATTCGTTGAACTGTGATAATGTTGGTGGGAAATTTGAATCCATTGCTTTTCGGGTACAACGTCCAGATGATGCCGAAGCCACCTTCCACGTCGTCCACGTCATCGACTCCAGTCCACAGCGGCTCTTACACTAACGAGGTTAGGAGAGCTTCTGATGATGGAAAGACGCCTTCGGAGAGAACCGGGGCGCCCCCGGGGGCGGGTAAAGACGCCGTTAAGCTTTTTATCGGGCAGATCCCGAGGCATCTCGAGGAAGAAGACCTCCGTCCTATGTTCGAAGAGTTTGGGAAGATTTACGAGCTGACCGTTCTCAAGGACAAGCACACCGGAATGCATAAAGGTCAGTTTTGATTTTTAGCTTTGACATTTATTTGGGACTAGCTGACCCGGCAGACTTCGTAGTACCTCAATTGATAAATAAAAGATCTAAGCTTATTAATTAAACTTAAAACAAACAAAAGGATGTCGTCCGACGGGGGACACATCATAGGAAAAACAAAATTGTTTGTTTTTATTTAATTCCGAGCATTTTCATATTTATCTACCTTTCAAACCTTCTCTGGACTTCTACAAATAAATCAAAACCAAAATTAGCCAAATTGGTCCAGCCGTTCTCGAGTTTTAGCGAGATTAACGAACAGCAATTCATTTTTATATATATAGATATGGAATATAGATTACAGATCTAAAGAATTGTGCTTGATATGGTGTGTTAAATAGATGTATGGTGAATTTGAGGTTACTGAGAATTAGATAACTTTTTAAGGCAGGCAGTCACTCCTCTCCATTGTAATATTAATAAATACCTATACAATAGTAATTAATATACCCTGAGTAGGATAAAAAAAACTATATGAATTACTGTATTTATTCATTATTACCGAACAAGGATATGAATACATACAGTAATTCATATAATACGTCTTGTTATTGATGAAGTTGCAGTATGATATACAAGCATTCGATTATAAAAGGGGGGATAATTAACAAAATAAGTTAAGGGAAAAATTCAGGTAAAGGAATTATTTTGCACAAGTGAAGTATTACTCAATAATTAAGTTATTGGATAAAAATCAATGATAAAAATCATTGTAAGAAAATGATTTGTGAAAAAGTGAAAAACAAAATTTATTTGTTTTTTGAGAAAGTAATCACGAAAATTAAATAATTAACGTCCAATTAATGAGACAATAATAAAGCCAGGCTCTATCTACAACAACGATAGCAAGTGGAAAGTGAAGTAGAGATAGAGATTTTGCTAACACAGATAAATTCTTCTTCAGCATTGGTGGGTTCTTACCTGATTTGAAACATTTCCTTGACTCTATGGGTATCACAGTGCAATGCTACCATCAGCCATTATTTTGTGCTTACTATATATTGATATACGGTATCGAAAAACTGGTTCTTTGGATTTTAAACCGTGATTGATGTTTTTTTCGAGGTAGAAACAAAATTATGACTCACCCAATTTATTGAGTACCGATATTCCAAAAAGGAATGGGAGTAAGCAAATATTAATTTTACTAACGTTAGTGTGTATCTAGCATGGTAGTTAATTCTATTCGTAACACCATTCTGCCTTGTTCTGCCGCGAAGCTTTCAAGCTTCCCAGTTCGTACCTTTTAATTAGCAAGTTTTGTAATAAAATTGAGACTTCGATAACGACTCTTATACTATAGATGGATTATTGAGAAGTAGTACAGATACTCTTTCATTTATCTCATGAAATCGTAACGTAAATTCCTTATCGATTAAATAGCATCGATTAAATAATCGAATTCACGTAACGTCATGCAAATATAACTCGACTTCTAATAAAAAATCTAATTCATACTGTCGCGTGTTTGGGAGATTTCATTGAGCCGTATAAGTAGTTTAGAATGACGTTGTAAATGAATAAAACTGTAATAATTTATACGAGAAATGTGTGTTATGATTAAATTGTTTTTTTTACAGCAATATACTCCAGGCGTGAAACTATTACGTGAAACACTAAAATAGTAAGGAGAATGATATAGATAACCGTAGATAAAACGTTCTGCTGGCAGGCTTGAAATCATGTGGGTTTGGTTTTGGCGTGATATTTAACATTGGTAACCAAACTTAGTTATAGGAAACATTCTGATCGGTACCGTCAATTTAATACGACGTCACATTATATCAGACTTATATGCATGTATATTATTATCTTATTAAAATATATGGTTGTTATTAATACAATAATATAAAAGTGAAAGATTCTAAATTTGAATATCTATTACTCAATAACACAAAAATGGCTAAGCTTATTTTGACGAAGCTTCGGAAGTGAGTAGTAGTGTCATATGATATACTTTTTATCATATTAAAATATGCTAAGTGCCAAAAACGCTGAAAATTTCTGCTAAAATAAATCCATTAATTGATTCGAATATATGTAAATTTATGTTAGCAACGGATGTATAAGTGGGTAGTTCATAGATCATAGAATAACACTAGCAATTCTTTGTCATTAATAGTTAGGGCGTTTGATGATTACCTTATTCAAGGTAGTCAAATCAAAAAATATATATATATTCATGTAATCATTTCAAAGTATAAAATGAATCCAAAAGTTTTATAACGTTGACTCAAAAGCTACTTTCTTAGCAAGTTTTGCATTTAAAACGAGTTATTAAAGCACAAAAGATTTTCAGAGGCAAAAAAGCTCAGGACCGTGACAAATTTTTCACTTGGCGTCAAAACAAGGCTTGCGTGAGCTCCAACTTACAAAGCCACCGTGAAAATATGAAGCATGGAAAATTATTACCTCAATTTTCACGACATGCGAATGGAAAGAGTATTACGATTTGCGAATTTAATTTATAGTGGGAGAGTATGTTAAATGCTTTTTATGCCCAAGACCTTAAAAATTCTGAGAATTGAGGCAGTTTTTTTAGTTCGGGTTTCATCTTTATGATAAGAGAATCCAAGGAGATGGACAAGTGCCAACCTTCTTTCTAAGGTTTCGGTATTATTTTACTGGTAGTAGGAACTCTTGCGAGTCCGCGCGGGTAGGTACCACCGCCCTGCCTATTTCTGCCGTAATGCGTTTCGGTTGTAACTATACTGAGATCTTAGAACTTATATCTCAAGGTGGGTGGCGCATTTACGCTGTAGATGTCTATGGGCTCCAGTAGCCACTTAACACTAGGTGGGTTGTGAGCTCGTCCTACCATCTAAGCAATAAAAAATATATATTTCAATGGCTTTGTACAATACATGTAATTTAGGGAGTATTTTGATTTTGTCAAACCTTATAAAAAAGTTGGTACTAATATCCACAGCATGCCGATAAATTAATTGTAATTTTTTTTTCTTACTAATTAATTAACGAAGAATCGACAAAAGCTTCGACCAAGAAACTATAATTGTATTCGTGGATTAAAAAAGTTTTTTACAACCAGCAAGAATGAACAAATGATAATCAGATAGCGTTCTGATGGATCTATTGGAAATTCGTATTTTTTTTACTTTGGGTTTAGACCCAAAGTAAAAAAAATACGAATACGGAATGTCTTTTACTAAAGAAACAGAAGTCATTTACCAAAACCGAGCATCCAAAAAAATCGTGAAGCGTTCCATCATTTTTAATATTTAAACATAGCAATTATAATAAGTGAGGGTGCAGTACGCGAGGGACATAAAATTCAATAATGGCCCAGCGAGGACCTCGATTATGAGGGGCGGAAGGCCAGTTTCCCGAAGAATGAATTTCGGGTCATAAATTCTTACTTCTTTGTTGTAATCTGACGTAAAGATGACAGTACGAGGCGATGTGCCGGGTAAAGTGAAAAGTTTGATTATATTCCTGAGAGATGAGTCATTTGGATCGTTTCTTTTAAACCATATAATATGTACTTAAGGATTTCTAATCCTCGCAATTTTATATTGGAAGCTAAAGATCGATCACTAAGATTTTCTGGTTTTTAAAGTAAGATGAGTGTATTTATCCATCTTTCAAATGACGTCATCTTTGCAATAAACGGTCGCAAAGCGCCATTCGGTTACAACGACAGTTGAGCTTTCGTTCTAATAAAAGCTAAATTTTAAAAAAAAGCGGCATTTTCTAATGTTCTTTTTTCTAAGAATTCCTATTTGAATTGTAGATTCGTTTAAGAATTTTTTAGTAAGTATTTTGGCTTAAAATTTCAAAGTATTCTCAAAAGTGTTTAACAGTCTTCGAAAATTCAATGTTGCGATCATCCTGCTAATTTCTATCATGAAGCGTTTATATGTTTATTCAAATGAGACTTCGACATCGTATCTCAAGAACAGTAACACTTTGTAATATTCGTGGGCCCTGGTGATCATATAACATCAGATGGATCATTCGTTCATTCACCTATTTAGGCGTTAAAAAAACTTTCTACTACTCTAAATTTCACTGAAAAGGTTAAAATTAGTGTTGGCCAGTCTGAAATTATATCAGAGTTACTTTAATTCAAAGCAATCAGAGCGCTTGTGTGGCCGCGAGGTCGTGAATTCAAAAAAGATGGACGAACAATTTTATATGTGAACATATCACTTATTTACGTATGTATTTAATAAGATTTTGGAGCATCTAGGCTGTAAATGAATCAATCGATGCTGTAAATGTCGGTTTTACGTTGGAGAAGTAGGTCAGGGTATAATGCATATGATATATTATTCTAATACAAACTATCCTCTAATCTACATATTAATACGTGAAGCAAAAACTTTGTATCCCTTTTTACGATAATTGCGCGGACGGAGGAACATTTCCCACACCTATAGAGAATATAGAGAACACGTGCAGAATGTTAATATTTTTTTAAATTATGCATAAAAAATACATTAAAGCAATAAAAAAATATATTACACACACTACTAAGTACTCGACACACAACGCATATACATACATTTTTTTGCTTTTTGTAAAAATCTGTGGTCTAATTGAGAATATATTAAAATGATTAGTCTTTAGTATTATTGTCTATAGTGTACCCTTTATGAAATCTGTGATCGTAGAACAATGATTATAAGAGAAATGGTGATTACAGAAATTATGTGACCATAAAACCATAATAATGTTCAAACTTATAATTAAGTTAGTTATAGTCGAATTTCGACTACCAAGCGATCACTGGTATTTAGAATAATTCACTATGTTTCACACCCACGGTAAGGATTATTATGATATCGCCAGAGCTTTTCCCATTATGTCATCTGTTTACCACGAAGCAATTATACTTTCCAATTTGTAGGGTAAAATTATAGTTGTACCTTTGAATCTAAGGCTTCCATCTGATGGTTATGGCATTTTATCTTATATGCAAAGGCTTTAGACACCAACTG